GCCCTGGCCCCAAAGTCTGCCTTCAGCATTCCCTTGCTGCTGCACTCCCCCCCATGCTTTGCCTCGGTGTGACATGATCAGATCGGGTGCAATTTCCCCAGTGTCTCTGGTGCTGTCCCCCGCAGGGCCATGGGTCAGTGAGGGGCATCATGTCTCATAGTGGGGCTGGCCATGTGGTCCGCTCTGTAGACTGGCTGCTCTAATTGGGGTCATTGTCCCCAAGGCCTGGTGGGCCAGGATGTGCTCCAGTCTCTCCTCCTCCCCCGTCATCTGCTCCTGTGTGCTCAGATCAGATATGTCCCTCTGGGAGCTGCGGATTCGGTGCCATCCGTTGAAATAAATTCTTCTGTGGGGAGGGGCAGGCACCTGTGGATCTTTCTTATGCAAATCTCAATGTGAATTGAAGATAGGCTTTTTTTTGGGTTTTGTTTTGGACTTTTAGCCCCTGAAGTGGAAGCCCCTTTCTCTCCCTTGGGCGTTGGAGCTCTGCCCTCCCTGGGGTGCTGTGTGAGTGCACAAGTGCTTCAGCATCTTGTCATTAACCATGACTTCAGAGGGGGCTCTGCAGTCAGCCTGGGAAATCCTGGTGCAGCTGTAACGGGGAGAAGCACAGCGTGTGGCTGACCCTCTGAGAGCAGAGGGAGAAAGGACCCAGGGTGCTGCAGCCAGCCATTTGCAGTACAGCAGGCTTTGCAGTGGCTTTGTTTAAGTTTGCTTCCATCCTTATGTCGAGGTCTGCCGTGGTGGGGAGGAAGAACCACGTAAATGTGGTTAAAATAACAACTGACTACTAAATGACAGGTAAACTCCAAAGATCAAAGGCAGTTCCTGCTCACTAAAAAACAAACAAAAGCATTCAGGGGCCTATAAGAAAAACCCAAAGCCAATCTCACTGCCATTGAGTCCATGCTGATGCAGAGCAACCCTATTGGACAGGGTAGAACTGCCCATGTGGGTTTCCGTGAGGGTCACTCTGAGCGAGAGTAGGAAGCCTCATCTTTCTTCGCATAGCGGCTGGTGGTTTCCAACTGCTGACCTTATGTCAGCAGCTCAATGTGTAACCACCACACCACCAGGGCTCCTTCGGGGGTATATTAGTCTGGGTACTTTGGAGAAACAAATCCACAGCAACTCATGTATAAGAGAGAGTTTTATGCAAAGAAAATGTGCATCACGAAAACATCCCAACCCAATGCTGTCCAAGCCCACAAGTCCAACATTAACCCATACCCAACACCAGTCCACAAAGTCCTTCACCTCACAAAACAGAGGCAATAATGCCGACTGCAGGAGGAAAGCTGAGTCAGTGAACGTGTAAGCATCTCAGCACTGGCAGGGGTCTCCACATGGTGCTCCAGCACCCAGGGCTGCATCGGGATAGATCCATGCGGCTTCTCCTTGGGGATGTCTTGTAGGAAATCCATCTTGCAAGCTGAAGCAGGGAACTGCTAAGGCAGCTGCATCCGATGCAACCATCACAAAACAAGAGACCCGAGAACTAGAAAGGCGAGGCTTCACCACCCATTTATCCCTCCGCCTTTCAACCAGCACCACATGTGATTATCGGCCAGGCTAGCACAATTAACTAACTCAGGGGGCCTGTACTGGTGAAAAGTAAAAGGTCTGCTGTGTTTCCTTCCAGACATCTCTTATCTGTTCTCTATGAGGACCCATGCTATCGAGTGGACGCATAGAGACCCTGCATAGTGTTTGTGAGGCTGTGCAGGGCGCCCATGCTTACTCCACAGCGCCACCAGGGGCCCGTCTATACTGCAGGTGCCCAGTGGGCCGCAGTGTACACGGTGTTTGGAACATGTCTGCACTCTCCTCTTCCTCCCCTGTCTTCTTAAATGAACACTGTCTTAGCTTCCGGGGGCTGTTCCACTCAAATGCCATTGTCTCTGAGATGCGCACTGTCACCCCACTGCCAGGGCTCAGGGGTGGCGGTGGGACCGTGCTGCTTTAAATGAACCCCTCTGTAATTGGGTTAGGACCCACCCTGCTCCGCTGTCACCTTACGCTGAAGGATAACACCTTCAAGACTGCTTCTGAACTGGGTTCCCTTCGCAGGCGTGGGGGTTAAACCTTCCACGCATCTCTTTGGAGGACACCACTCTGGCCGTCACCCACGGGGCACGGGGGTCCTAGAAAGGAGGAGGCTGATCCTGCTGCTCTGCTCAGAAGCAGCTGCCTGGCTCGGGCGGGGACTGGAAGCAAGGAGAGGAACTCGGGCTGGGTTTCGGTGATGAGCTGCTGCTTTGTTTCCACCTCCTGCAGAGCAGAAAGACCGTGGGTTCGAGGTGGCCTCTGTGTCCCCTGGAGGCAGGGCCTCGGACAGCAACGTCGAGTCCGATGCCGCCCCTTTCCCGGAAGACCCGGGGAGCTCCGACCAGCCGGATGCTGTGGCCAGCTTACCCACACCCAGCGACATCTTCGTGTCCTACTCCACCTTCCCAGGTGAGTGAGTGGTCCTCTCACCTGCCCCAAAGCAGCCATGGTGGGAAAGAAGAGACCCTCCTTCCCCACCCCCTGCCGCGGGTCCAGGGCAGGAGGCGGGCACTTTGGTCCTCATTCTGCCACAGCCGTCATGCCACCTCTTCAGACAGGAAGGTAGTGATCCCTCAGGTTGTCCGGGACTTATGCTAGGTGGTTGGGCAAGGTGGCAAGGTGCCAGGCCTGTCAGGGAGCCACCTGCCTGTCTGCGCCTTGACTTTCTGGTTGGGAAGATAGGAACCCTCCCCAGTGTCAGCAGGTGGCTCTGAGGGTAACACAGGACGACAGAGGCCTGAGACTGCGTCACCGTCCAGAGGAGGGTCAGGTTCAGGGAGCGGGTGATCCTCAGGCCCCGGCCCACCCACCAGGCCCACCTATCCCCTTGCTAAGGCTTCGTCTCCTGGAGGAACACCAAGTGCGGCTCCTGGTACATCGAGACCCTGGACAGCGTCTTTGAGCAGTGGGCTGACTCCGAGGACCTGCAGACCCTCCTGCTCAGGGTGAGGCTGGCCTGCCTGCTGGAGGGGGTGCATGCTGGGAGTGGGGCGCCGGCCTGACTGAGGCAGCACCAAGCCCACACACAGCGGGCAGGAGTATTCCCCTGTGCGCCTGCCCCATGGCTTGTCGGGGAGCCCATGCTCCCTCTTCTCTGAACGTGAGACACACTGCCTACAGGGTGACATTTGCCCTTTGGGGGTCCCCAGGATGGCTCTTCCCTGAGGGCTTTGCTGAAGCCCTAGGCTGATGGGATGGCTGCGGCCAACCACAGCACCCAGGCAGGCAGGCCATGAGGCTGCCCCCAACCCTTCCCCCCACCCAGTCGTCCTCGGCTCTCCATCTCTAAGAACCAGGTTTCCATTGGTACTGTCCTTCTCAGAAGGCCCTGACGGAGCCTTCCTCTGGTCAACACCCCACTCCAGGCAGAGGTTCAGAACCTCATCCTTGCCTGGGGGTCCCTCCTGTGCTGCTGAGGTAGCTCATGTCACGGGAGAGGGTGGAGGACGGGGGCCACCCAGTCTCCTGAGGGAGGTGGCAGTCCTGTGTGTCGCTGAGCCGAGCAGAAGAGAGGAGAGCAGCACAGGGCAGTGGGTGCAGCCCCAGGGGTGCCTGCCCCTCGCCTGGTCCTGGGCTGTGACCCTCAGGCAGCTGGGGCCACAGGGGTGGGGAGGGCCTGTCTGGGGTAGGCCTGGCCTTCTGCACCCGCCCCTGCTCTCTGCTCCCCACTTCACATTCAGCAGAACTTGAACGTTATTGGAGGGGGTGGTGGTAAAAAAGCCATCTATTTAACACGCACTTTTGACTTTTTGACCTTTTCCAGTACAGCTGTATGAAATTTTGAGATTTTAAAATATTTAACGAAGGTGATTATTCTCTACATGGCAGGAGACTGCCATTTTAGCCTTTCCCCCCTTCTTTTTCCAGAATGGAAACATGGTAAGACCTTTGTTTTAGATTGACACAACTCACAGGTTCACAACGAGAGAGCGATGCTGTTCTTCAGACATCTCTCTGCCCTGCTCCCGCCACTCTCCTTAAAGTCACCACCGCCCAGTCCCAGCCACAGACTCCCCTGTCCTCCGTGTACCACTGCCCTCGAGGCCATCCCGGCTCATGGCGACCCTGTTAGGTCTCCAGGGATGTCAACCCCTAGGGGAGCAGGCAGTCTCATTGTTCTCCCACAGAGGAGCTGGTGGACTTGAACCACCGACCTGGCAGTCCAATGCTTAACCTTCCTACCCCCAGGAACCACCAGTGACCTTTGGTTTCTACCTGAGGGGGCTTTACAGAGGTCACGGGAAAAAGGAACAGAGAGAGAATGGCATTTTCCCTGGACTGTATTGAAGCTCCCATGGCTGGCTTATCTCACGCACATGGGACCGGGCAGTATTGATCTCTTGGCGACCATGTGGTCTGGCTCTCTTCATTCTTCTGCCAGCGGCGAGCGCTCACAGACCCCGTGCACTGTCTTCACAGGTGGCCAACGCTGTTTCCGAGAAAGGGAAGTACAAGCAGATGCCGGGCTGTTTTAATTTCCTCCGGAAAAAACTCTTCTTTAAAATATGACGCGGGCTTGGGCCCCGTATGCTGCCTTCCTCTCATCCCCACCCTGTCCTGCTCCAGGCCTGCACGGCCCCACGTATGTGGGCAGACAGGCTTCCAGATGGACGTGAAGGATGGAGAGCCGTGGATGCATGGATGCCACGTGGGCCTGTCACATGTGGCCAGCTCCTGGGGCCCGTGACCGACCTGTGGCCCGAGTGCCGTGTCCGCAGCAGGCTTTTTCAGCACTGTGGGTATTGAGGACCGATGCCCCCCAGGGCAGTGGGAGGCTATCTGCACAGAGGGCTGCCTCAGTAGCACCTCTTCCGCCCCCTAGCTGCCAGCAGCATGTCCCCAAGTCGTGACAACCAGAATGTCTCCAGACACCACCAAGCATCCCCTGGGTGGGGGTGCACAATCGCCCCACTGGAGAGCCAAGAGGGATGGGAGTCTGGCAACTGGAGGCCAGCACCTCTCGGGGCAGCAGGCGTGGTGGTGCTGCCTGCCAGAGTGGGAACAGCTTTAACCTGTGACTTCTCAGTGGAGTTTTAGACATTGCTCATTTTCCCTGCACTCGGGGAGTCTTCCAAAATAAATCTCCCAGGCCAGTATGGACTCTCTCTTGCCCATTTTCTCTTTGTTTTGCAAAAATTCATCTTCCTTTCAAAGGTGGCGCCTACCTTTTCAATCCATTCCCCCTACCGTTATTTCATCTGGTCCCCACTCTGTGCTGGGGCATAAACCCTGTGCCAGGGAGACAAGTCACTTGTCCAAGAGAACAGGGAAACCGGGGGAGAAACCCGGCTAGAACCGGAGTCACCCGGGACTTGGGGCGATCCTGGGACCTCAGACCCATCCCTCAGGTCCTTCAGTCCATCCTGACCCCAGCTTATTTCTTGCTTTTAGGGTATTAGGGTGAAGTTCCTGGGTAGTGCATGTGATTTGCCCTCAATTACTAAACGAAAGGTTGGTTTGCACTCACCCTGTGGCACTGCGGAAGAAAGGCCTGGCAGTCTGCTTCTGTAGAGGATACGGCCAAGAGAATCCTGTGGGACAGCTCAGCGCTAACACACAGGGAAGCTCTTAACAGACCTTTCCCTGGAGAGATCACACCATTGAAAACCCTTTGGAGCACAGTTTGACCTTGATCCCCATGGGGTCACTGTGAGTCAAAATTGTCCCCCCCCTTTTTTCTTTTCAATGTCACAAATCCTCAGACCAGAGGGTAGGAATATAGATACGAGGACGTGGATCACAGCAACACATCAGAGTGAAAAATAGGACACATGGACATGCCACTCATTACCTCCACTCCCAGAATCTTTAAAAAAAAATTTTAAAAACATTTTATTAGGGGCTCATACAACTGTTATCGCAATCCATACACACATCAATTGTGTAAAGCACATTTGTACATCATTCTCAAAACATTTTCTCTCCACTTAAACCCCTGGCATTAGGTCCTCATTTTCCCCCTCCCTCCCCGCTCCCCCTCCCTCATGAGCCCTTGATAGTTTATAAATTGGTATTTTGTCATATCTTGCCCTGTCCGATGTCTCCCTTCACCCACTTCTTGGTTGTCTCTCCCCCAGGGAGGAGGTCACACACAGTTCCTTGTAATCGGTTCCCTCTTTCCTACCCATTCTCCCTTTACCCTCCCTGTTTCGCCACTCACACCACTGGTCCTGTAGGGCTCATCCGCCCTGGATTCCCTGTATTTTCAGTTCCTATCTGTACCAGTGTACCTCCTCTGGTCTAGCCAGACTTGCAAGGTCGAATTCGAGTCATGGTAGTGGGAGCGGGGAGGAAACATTTAGGAACTAGAGGAAAGTTGTATTTCTCATCGTTGTTACATCGCACCCTGACTGGCTCATCTCCTCCCCGAGACCCCTCTGCAAGGGGATCTCCAGTGGCCTACTAATGGGCTTTGGGCCTCCACTCCACACTCCCCCCATCATTCACTATGGTAAGATTTTTTGTTCAGATGATGCCTTATACCTGATCCCTTCGACACCTCATGGTCACACAGGCTGGTGTGCTTCTTCCATGTGGGATTTGTTGCTTCTGAGCTGGATGGCCGCTTGATTACCTTCAAGCCTTTACGTCCCAGAATCTTATGTAGTGATTACAACAACAACAACAAACAAGACAAGTGGTATATGCACTGATGTGTCAAGTGCAGAACAGTATGAACGCCCAATCCTATTTCCAGTTAGAAGACACCCTGTACGCGTGTTCATAAGATCTAAAGAAAGACCTCACACCAAACGGAGAACAATGAAGATGAAGGTATGGGACCAGAGGGGACTTCTGCTTTCCCGGGCTACATTCCTATAATCCATTACTGTTAGTGTGGTAGACTGTATATCACGTAAAACGGCCATTTTAAGTGGACAGTTTGGTGGCAGTTACATACAATGTGCGGCCATCACTGCGGTCCCCAGAGTTTTCCATCACAGAACAGAAATGTCGCGCGCTATGCAAGAATGCCCCATCTCTCACTGTTTGTACAAATACTCTGTTACTTGCTGGGGAAAAACCCACCACTTGCTGCAGATGTCTGTGTTGCTGTCTCTCAGTAATCCTTTGTTGAAAGGACAGATGCCCTTGGCCACCTGTCTCCTCATTCCCTGCCCATGCCTTTTGTTGGTAGCTTCCTGGCATTGGCTGGTCACCTGTCTGGTTTGTCCAAACAGGTGCTCCCATGTGCCCTCCGGGCTGCAGCTGTGCCGGGCTCCTCTTGGCCGCTGCAGCTGCTGGGAGGGTGGCCTCCGAGGAGGACAGCTGGTGGTGGCTTGGCTCCCCCAGGCCTGGAAGGCACCACTGGGCACTGTGCCTGCCTTGGCTGTGCTCCCCTAAACACAGGGCCTCTGCCCAGCGGCCTGTGAGGCTGGCTTTCCTCATGATGCCCTCTGCTATCCAGCCATGGCTTCTCGGCCCTGCCTGCTTCATCCCAGAACAGCTGAGGCTGGGACACTTGCCTTCAGCCCCTGCTTTAGGGCTCCCCGGGTCTTGCTGGGACCAGCTGCCTGGTGACTCCCACAGCAGCTGGGGCTGGAAAAGGACCCTAGCATTGGGCTGGGAAGAGGCCTTCCGCTGAGAGGCTTGGGCCAGTTTCCTTGGACACGGAAGAGGCACCTCAAAAGCTGGACTCTGCTTTTCCTGTGCCAAAATCTATGCGGGACTGCTTTCCAGTTAAAAACAAAACCCAAACCCACAAATAAATAAATACAAATGACAACCAGTGGCCGCTCTCTTCTTAAATTTACCCTTTAGTCTGACAGACTTTTCCTGAGTGGTCTCTGGTCCCTCTGTTGGCAGAGCAGTGCCAGCAGACAGATGCCCGCGGAAGGAGCAGTGAGGGCTGATGGGGCTGGCGGGAAGCGGCCCACCTGCTTGTTTTGACAGTGTGTGTCTCTCATCACGGCTGCCGTTTCACGTTTTGTTTTAGGACTGTCAGTTCCATTCCACCGAGCAGTTCTCTCTGCAAATTAAATTTAAAATAATGACTTGCGACACCACCCTCCCCTTCTTTGGAAGGGCTCGGCCATCAGCCATGTGGCTTCCGTGTGCTATGCCACCCAGACATGCTGAGCCCTGGTTGAGTGTAAGGCCCACTTTCCAGGTAGATCTGGCCATGCCAGCCTGTGGAGGGTGACGGGAGAGTCGTGGGAACAGTGAAGAGTGAGCATTGTACAACAACACGCACATAATAGATGCCAGGGACCTTTACGTGTGAAGATTCTCAAGCTGTCAATGTGTTTGGTGACGTTTACCATTTACTAAACAGAGAAGTTAAGTGCAAGGCCTCCCCCCTCCCGCCAGCTGAGGCTCACCTTACCTCCCAGCATCCATCCACCACCAGGGGGCAGTGCTTCCTCCTCCTGCCTCCAGGCACCACTTCCGGTGCTGGTTAACCAAAAGGAAACGGCCAAACTCACTGCCACAGAGTTGGTTCTGAACCAGTGTCGGCCTACTGTAGGACAGGGAGGAATCGCCCCAGTGGACGCTCAAGACAAACTCTGGGAGAAGAGGCTCATCTTTCTTCCTCAGAGCAGCTGGTGATTTCGAGCTGCCAACCTTGCCGCTAGCAGGCCAGCACATAACCACTGTGCCACGATTGCTTCCACATATTAGCAGTGGCTAAGGAGTCACCAGTGGTTACGGGCTGAGATCTGGTAAAGTCAGCAGTTCAAAACCACCAGCCACTCATTGGGGGAAAGATGGGCCTTTTTACTCCCATAAAACCCATAGGATAGGGGTTCTCAACCTTCCTAATGCTGCTACCCTTTAATACAGTTCCTCATGTTGTGGTGACCCCCCCTCCCCCATCATAAAATTATTTTTGTTGCTACTTCATCACTGTCATTTTGCTACTGTTATGAATCAGGCGACTCCTATGAAAGGGTCATTCGACCCCCAAAGGGGTTGCTCTCCATAGGTTGAGAACCACTGTCATGGGAGCATGTAGTGAAAGAAACTGATGGTGCCCAGCTATTAAAAGGTATAGCATCTGGGGTCTTAAAGGCTTCGAGTTAAACAAGAGGCCGTCTAGCAGGAAAGCAACAAAGCCCACATGAAAGAAGCACGCCAGCCTATGTGATCAGAAGCTATCGATGAGATCTGGTATCAGGCACCAGAAGACCCCAAACAAATATATCGATGCAAATAATGGGGTTCAGAGTGGAGACCCAAAGCCCATCTGTAGACAATTGGACATTCCCTCACAAAAGGGTCACAAGGAAAGAAAGAAACAGCCAAGGTGCAGATTAGCACTAACAGACATACAATTTTCCTCTAGTTCTTTAATGCTTCCTCCCCCACTATCATGATCCTAGTTCTACCTTACAAATCTAGTTAGGCTGGAGCATGTACAGTGGTACAAGCACCTGGAATCCAGGACAGATCAATCCTCCAGGAACAGTAATGGGAGTAGCGATACCATGAGGGTATGGGGGAAGGTTGTGGGAGAAAGGAGGAACCGATCATAATAGTTGACGTATAACCCTCCTACACATACAGGGTGACGAACAACAGAAACATGGATGAAGGGAGACAGCGGTTGGTGTAAGATATGAAAATAATAATTTATAATTTATCAGGGACCCATAAGGGTGGGAGGGTAGGGGAGGGAGGGAAAAAGAGGAGCTGATACCAAGGGCTCAAACAGAAAATATTTTGAAAATGATTATGGCAACATATGTACAAATATGCTTGATACAATTGATGTATGGATTGTTATAGGAACTGTAAGAGCCCCTGATAAAGTAATTTATTAAAAACAACAACAACAACCCACAGGAGCAGTGCCACCCTGTCCTGTAGGGTCCCTATGAGTTGGCATGGACATGATGACAGTGGGTGAGTGAGTAATAGCAATGGCTGTTCCCTATATTGGCACCAGTCTTTTAAAAAAATTAAAATGAATAATTTTCATGGTTATTATAAACCAATGAGTGCCCTCCAAGGGCCCTGGATACAAATAATTAAGATGGTGGAGGTCTTGAATGGTCAGGTTTGTGCCTTGCAGATAAGCCAAAATAAAATATCCTACTAATCCCAGAGACCCACGCTTGCTGTGCCGTCGAGTGTCCTTTCGTTGGCCTCCCTC